CTTTGGGGGCCCAGGCCTCATTCCCTCTGCTAGGTTTCCTTTAGAAATTTTAATCCTGATTATTCTTGCATACATTCAAGCCCACATTTAACATTCTTAGTCACACTGATCAATCACTAGAACTGAAAAGGCAGCTTTTTATCTTTCCTCCTTAAAGAATGTAGAACAGAATAAACAAAAGTAGTTATCCACACTGGAAGTCTGTCCCTTTGAGACAGGGAAGTCTCTTAAAGGTAAGAATAGCTCTACAACACCCAATCAGTGATAGCTGTATTTATTACACCAAGATTTAATCCCACTCTTGGTGATCTTGCCTGGATTCATGGCCTTTAACGTTATCTATGAAGATGACTCAAGTTCTGATCTCTCCTCCAAATTTCAGACTTTTATATGCACCTGCCTACTTGCCACTTCTAGTTGGATGTCTAATGGAGATCTCAAAACAGTCCAAACTGAGGTTGCCTCCCCGCAAACCCACTCCCCCACGGTGCTTTCCAAATGTGGCCAGTTGCTCAGGCAGAATACCTTGGAGTTATCCTTAAATCTTCTTTCCCTCATGGCCCTCACATTCAGTGAGCAGCGCTGACTGGGTCAACCCTTAAAATACAAACAAAATCCAGCTACTTTCCACTTCCACCCTTGTCACTACTCTCTCTCACTTGGATTATTACAATTTGCTTCTAACTGGGCGCCCCCTGAAATCTGTTCTGAACACCAAAGTCAGAGTTAGCCTGTTCAGGTCGCATCACTCTTTTGCTCCAAACTCCTTTCTCAAGTAGAGGAAAAACTAGTCTTTAAAATCACCTACCAGGCGGTCCGTGAGCAGGCTCCCCATTACTCCCTGACCTACCCTACTCTTCTCCGCGGCACCAGCCACGCTGCTGTTGCTTCAGCAAACCAGGCAGCCCCCCGCCTCAGGATCTTTGGACTTCTGTCCACCTGCATGCTCCCCTCCTGATGTCAGGTCTCTGATCAGATGTGACCATGTCTATGAGCCCTTCTTCCCTGCCCTCCCTCCACCCGATCCTGGCACTGCTTCTCCCCACTTCCTTGCCTTGCTTTACTTCCCCCCCTTATACTTACTATAATACCATTTACATTTTACTTATTTTGTTTTTATTATAAACTCCACGAGGGCAAGAATTTTTTTCACTGTTGTAGGATCAAAAACAGTCCCAACCAGAGTCATCGTTGAAGAAATAATTGAAAAAATGCACTTGAAGTCATCACTCTCATTCCCAGGTCCCCCTTTACTGAATGATTTTAATTAAAGTCATACAAAAGTCCTTGGGGTGAAAATAAAAGCAAAAGACCACTACACATTAGTTTGTCAACATGTAATGCCCTGGGTTTATTTTGTGAGAATTCTATCACAATTTTTCCAGGTGGGATTAAAAACCTTAAGGATAATGTATGCCATTGGACTGGGCATTCAGACTTCGGTACTGACAAAGCACTAGTAGTAGTCTGTTAAGTACCATTCTCTTCACAGAAGAGAGGTCAAATATTTCCAAAGGAAGGCACCCGATATTTGTGGTTCTGGCCTTGCAGCCTTCTGGAGAATCTTAAAAGGAAAAAAGCTGGCTGGCTGTTTTTAGAAACTGGAATGATGATACACGTACAGCAATTACTGCATTCTTCTCCCTTATATCCTTTTTGTAAGAACAAGTAAAGAATGAAGTCTTTTAAACAATTCGACAATAAAAAAGTACATTTTTTTTTTTGTGCTAAAAAAAGGGCAAGACAACATAAACTCCAGTTGTAAGGACTCCATTTGCAGACTTGATTTAACACTTTTTGGTGTGGAAGGAAATGGGACCACGGGGCTGTTTGTAGAGCAGCAACATAACATTAGTGCTTTAAGTACCAGAAACTGCCCACGGCTTTGTGGGCAAGTGGGGACGGGAAGATTCAAGAGACTTCATTTTTAGCTTGTTACTTGTCCTAATGATAGTAGACCAGGAAGATCCCCATTTAACAGTACATTCCCCATGTTTTAAAAACTGATGCCTTTTTTTCTGTAAAATTCTGTATGTATGTCACCATTTTTTTTTTCACGTGATACACAGAAAACTCAGGGACCCAGAGGGGAACCAAGTTATGTTATACCATTTACAAAATACCAAGGAGTCCACAGCTACCTAACACATTTACTACAGCACAGGAACCAATGAAGGTACAGTGTACAAAAAACTGTAAACACGGCACAATAAATAGATAAAACAGCAGGTTCCGCACCATGCACATGATGTGATGACACTTCATCTCTATACAATCTCACATCTCACACTCTTTGTTGCAATTTATTTCCCCCCTCCCCCCACCCCCAAGTGCAAAGCATCACAAATGAACATTTCTGTATTCAAGTAACGTATATACAAGGTATTACAAAGATGCAGTACTGTACAGATAATTGCTGTAGTCTTAATTACAGGTGTTGATTTTTTTCCTATTAACAGTAAGAAAAATTGAAGCATGAGAGATGAGCACTGCTGTCAAGTCCCCACAGCTGCCACAGAAACGCATGTGCTGCATTCCATCATCCCTTGCATTCAAAATGCTACTGATGCATAGCACCTAATCAAGTCCCCAGGTTTCAGTCCCACTCCTGAGGAAGCTACGTCACCTCCATCGCTACTGTATTGTCTGCTATGTTGTTTAGTGCTGGCTTTTCTGATTCATGATTTTCCCTGTTGAAATAAAGTTCAATAAATTACTTTTCTGCAGCAAATGTAACAAATCAAGACTATCTTCCCAATAAAAAGCTTAAATATTTTTAATAATAGGGAAAAAAGCTGACTCATTTGGGACAAGATATCAAGTAGAGGAATATGAACCTTGATAGTTTATTATCAGGAATATACAATTAGAAATCAGGCTTATAAATTCCATGATCAGCTATATTACTAACAGAGCCCGTGGCGGCACCCGAGCGACCTACGTGTTAAAAACACATAAAGAATCCTTAAGTTTTATTGTTTATAGTTTCGCTTTCCTCCTCTATTAAACGTTTCCGAAAGTTTTAAAAAAGGAACAAATGTGACTAAGGTTCATTCACGTCAGGACTTTAAGTCAGGTTCTGTATGTGGAGTCGGGTAGGGCAGCTACCGAGCTGGGGATATCAGGGCCTTAGTTTGTTCCAGTACCTAGACTGCTGCGTGTGCTTAGAGAAGTCAGTTAACGTCTTTGGATCCCAGTTTCCTCATCTTTAAAATAAAGGGGCTAAAAGAAGGGATAGAAAAAGTTTTCCATACACTGCAAGTGTTCCATGATTATACAATTCAATAGCAATAAAAACCATGTATTATATATTTAAGAACTATAATTCATTGAGTAGCTATGATTAGATCCAGAATACAAATAAGAATGGATAGCAATGAGCAGACAGTGACTATTAAGTTCAGAGCAGACAGGGAAGCACGGCTTTGGAAACAAGGCTGGTCTGTTGCTACAAACCCTGCTCCTCCTCCCGGGCCACCGTCAAATGAGGACGTCTAAGCATCAGTCTGGCCTCCTCACCACTCCAACTACTAACCTTCCCAAACCTCTAGACAAACTAGTTTACTTGTTAACCTCTGAACACATTTATATTTCCCCAACTGTCTTTCTTTTTTCTGGCCAACCAAGATCAAATCTGATCTTACTTTGTGGAACATTCCCAGAACGCTCCTGGTATGAAAAGATGTTACCTTATATTGAAATTATAGCTGTACTCTACAATTAATTTGACAAGCATATAATGCTTTGTGTAGCACGTCTAGAATGATTTTCACCTATTATTTACAATTAATCTTATTTATCACCCTTTTATGCTTGTCTTCTAATTAAACTGAAAACTCCTTGTTTTTCTCTTTTTGCTTCCCCCATAGTCCTTGGTCAACAGCAGGATTTTAATTACCATTAATGTTTAAAACAGAATAGGGCCTGAACAAACACTCTAAACCGTCTACTGAAATCCAAGAAAACAGGTTAGCACAGAAAATAATGGTGTGATTAAAAGTTGACCTGCCACGAATACTATAAGCCTTTACATTATGAAGAGCCACGTAGCATACTAGCCATTAGGAAGTCTATCAATTCTGTCTACACAAGAAGCTGGGGAAGAAATCATAAACCAAAGAAGCATTCTAAAGAGAACTCCTTCCATCCAAAGGTGGAAGAAAATGAGAGCATTATAAGCTATTTTATATATATATATATAAAGAAAGTGATGCCCAAATCATATATGCAGTATTCACTATACCATTTAGTTCAAATTCTCAATACCAAAATACATTTATCTGTTTAGTTCTTGAATAAATAAGGATTTCTCATCTATACATTTTAATGTATACAGAAAAGAACAAAAAAACACAAAGAAATAAGGCAGAGCGCAATGCCAGAGAATAAAAATTAAATCTTGTATTTTTCAAACACTTTAGTCTTAAAATAACTACTCACCTTGGGACTGAATCTACAGAAGATGAAGATGGAACCTTGGAAACTTGACAATTTGCTGCGGCAGCCAGCTTTAAGGCAGACGATGGCACAGCACTTAAAGTCCTAGGTATATGTCGTGCATTTATGGGGGCAATCGAGTTTACAGTGGCAACTGATGAAGGTACAGTTAATCGAATGTTGTTCCCAATCAGAACCTGAGTTGTTGCAGAATTGGCAGCAGTTACTTGATGACTCAGTGCACTGTGGGAACTTGAAGTCTGTGTCATGTTTGAAGGCTGTAACAAAGTTGAACCTGCCGTTGATGGACTCGTATGTACAAGTGCTGTTGGTGTAGTACTACTGAGGTGTAAGCCCTTGTATACTCCTAGAGAAAAAGAAAGGAGCGTCTAAACAATGTGCAACTTGGCTGTTTATTCCAGATATGTGCTACAAATATAATCAAAGCCATTTCAATGTCTTAACCCTTACCTGAGGCTGGAAGGACGCCATTCACCCCAATTCCAAGCACCACATCATCCTTCATCTTGAATCCCATTAGTTGTTCTGATGTCACCAAAGCAGAAGCAGCAAATTGAGCACTAGCAGAATCCAAAGTCTTGGAAACAAAACCCTAAAAAGAAAATACAAAAACCTAATCAGCATCATTTAGTCTCAAATTAATATTAAAGCTACACAGGTAGAGCAAAATCAATGTGAATATAAACAAAAGTGGCAAACCACTGAAATATCTCTTATCTCTTTTAATAGTCTTAAGTTTGAGAAATAGTCAAGTAATCTTATAACAAGGATTATGAATTTTGATCTTCACATGTGATAATAAATAACATATTCAAGTCAATTACCAAAATAAACCTTCTATAATGTGGAAACAGTAAACCTCCAACACAAAATGTTGGATGAGAAATAAGCTAGTAAAACATTTCAGTGACTTACAAACACATATAACGAATAAATGAGTAGGTAAACTTCTTTCACCTAACTTACACATATATACATACATAACCAAAGGCACCTTTGGGATAGTAAGATAACTGTCCCTTTAGAATGGAACAAAATATCATATCATAACTTAGCCTAGAAATTATTAAGAGGCCCTTGAATTGTTTTAAATGAAGTTTTCTTCCGAGAGTCTTAGAGACTCAAATCTTTCAGCCTTTAAACCTTAAAGGGGTTTAAGGTTTAAACATTTATCATGCTTTAGGTTTAAGAGTGATTTCTTCTAAAAAGAGGTTATTTTAGTATGATAATTTCGACTAAATTTTAGCAATAATTAAAATACCCAAGATAATGAGCTTGTGGGCAGGGTTACATATTCAAGGGGTACATTCACAGACTACATACAGGTCAGACTTGAAGACAGGGTCTCCATTTCATTTAATTATGCTTTTTAGTTTTACTTTTTAAAATAGGGAGCAGAGGCAACAGCTTCTATACTCACCTGTAATGTTCTTTCTAAACCCTGTATAGAATGGCTATGATGGAGATTCAGGCGAAAGCCACTTTTCTGCTTGTTAGATGCAAGGTTCTATGACAACAGTTGGTAATTAGAGATGAACTCTGGTGGGAAACAATGAGGGATAATCATAAGACAGACAAATCCCTCACCTGTGAAGTGTTGGTGGAGGAATTACTATTTGCTTGCTGTTGCTGAATTTGTGCAAGCTGCTGTTTCTGCATTAGAGCCAGTTGCTGTTGATGTTGCTGGTATTGTTCGGCTGTAAATGCTGAACATAAAATGAGGAAACACTTTATAATAACGCACAGATATCACACACATCTAACAGTACTAAAATAAATTTCAGCATTAACAAAATTTGTGCAGAACTGAAGTATTTGACAAAAGCTCAAGGTCCTGCTAAAGATCATTTTCAAATGAAAATTTCAGCATTTTTTCAACCACATTTAACGAGAGTGGCTTGAGTCTAAAGAAAAACAAAATTAAACTTCCTGAGTTAAACATAGGAAAGAGAACTGCTCACTTCCCAAGTGGCAGAACCATCATTTTTGTAAGCTGTGACACTTGTGCTAGACAGTGTAAAAAGGTAATACCAGCTTTTTAATCCATATACTGGGAATTCAACTTTGCACTGAGCTTGAGAAGAAATATGATAATTACCATTTGGTTTCTAGTTTATTCATATTACTGTCCCAATGCATTCAGATGACCCCTAACAGGTCTGTGTATAAATACTGTTCTATTTTCTCATTTTAATCATTAAAAACATTTCCTCTATATGAAATATAAGGTTGTTGGTTTATTACCTTTTTTTTTTAATTTTAAAAAAAGAACCCATCCTTTAAGTTTAACAGGAAGAAAAGAGGCTCCAAATTTAAGGTTAATTAATTTTCCCCACCCAATTAACCCACCTGGAAAAAATCCAGTCAATAAGAACGGAGTTGTTTATGTTGATTTACTGTACAGAATGATGTCTGAGGAAAGACACTGTGTTATGCTACTTATGTTTGTCTATGGAGAGCTCAGTTCTAAAAAAAACAAACAAAAAAATGTTCATTTATTACCCCCCAAAAAGTGTGTGCAGTTTTTTAAAAAGGAAACCTTTTTCTTTCGCCAATTTAAAAAAAAGTAAAAATATAAAAAGCACATACAATTACAACATCTGACCTTAAAGGCTTCTTTAAGAAGCCTGTGATGTTTGGGTAAGAATTATTTCAAAACAAAACCAAAAAAAAAGGGTTGTCATGCATCCCTGGATACCAGGGAATCTACAAGTCATGCAAATTTACTCAATTTCAAATTTAATGTTTTCAAAATACTGCCACCTAATTTGTTGTTGTCTTTAACTGCATTTTGATAATTTAGTTACAATATCACTTCATCAAGTTTTGTAATTTTCACTTTTAACTCATGAAGAATCTTTATCTATTGGGATACAGCTTGTACTTTGTACAACTACAAAATGTTTAGGTAGAAATGCTACCATATTTTGAATGACTCCGAAAATCGTGAAGTAATATTTAATAAAACCATAGAAGTTATTAGTATCTACACAGGCTCTTATACTTCAGTTGAGCTTAAGTTTTTGGACTACAAGAACAAAAAAATTTCTTGTTGGGAAAATTCTATTGATTTAAAAATTTTTGTGTTACAAATCTGTTTAATTGGTATCTGTCCTTTCATAAATTTCTTTTCCTACTATGTTCGAAATCCTCAGATTTGATTTCTACAGGGAAGACTTTTATTGATAACAGAATCATCCTTAAATATTGATAAAAAGTAACTTTCTGTCAACATGACCATTTGCATATAACAGAAATATGCTGAATCAGAATTTGAAAAAAATATCTACAAAATTTAATACTGCCCTGAATGTTTATAATTCGTATAATATTTATCTTTATGTTTAAAAAAATCCATAAAAACGCTATTTTTTAAACCTAAAGATCCTTAATTTATTAGATAGTTTTGCTTATATGTTTTTTTGAGATTTACACTTTAATTTCCCAAGCTTGAGCGAGTTGCCTAAATCTTGAATTTCCTAATAGGGAATGGTCAATAATTTAAAAAAAAATTTTTATAAAGGACCATTTCTGGAAGGTCAGGTGATTACAGATCAAGAAAATCAGTAATTTAGCATTCACTGAAGACCTATATATGAAACTCCATTTATATGAATGGAAATATTCTTTTGTAGAACTTTGCTGGTATTTGTGTGTTTTAATAAAAAAAGTTAGCAACAATAGTTTGGAAAATGATTTAAATAAAGATTCCAAGTATTTTGGCCCTATTTAAATCAACATTTTAATCCTTGGTCTCTGAGGGTCTTGTGAATTTCACTTTTTAACAACTTTTAACTTCCCCCTAATACAAATTTAGAAATAAAAATGCATCCGACATTTTAGATCACTAATACTCATCAAGATTTTAGGGAGCATTTGAGATCTTGCTCCCCAGCATATGTTGTCAGTTTGGCTCAAATGAATTCTTATAAAAATTCAAAAAAAAAAAAAAAGGAAAAAAAGATTTTAGATCACTGGTAAGGCCTATTTCTTAGATATCTCTATATTCTAGAATCTAGTTATAAAATTTTCCCTGGACATTTTTGATAAATGATNTTTATCAGTTAAGGGTAAACAATTTATTTAAAAAGAAGCCTGAAACTTACAGCATAGTACTGACAGCCTGCTTTCCTACGGAAAGCAAAGGGACCATCGGGATCATTCTCTTCCTCAGCTTCCGAAGAGCCAGACAAAACCTTTAAATAAGATGAAGTGGGTCAACACATGTGACTTTCTACATTCCTCCTCTACAGTTGTAGGGAAATTCTTATATTTACCTGGGAGAGAGGTTCTTCGTCTGAGCTGGGAAAGTCATACTGATTTAAATCTTTAGCATTAAAGACCGGCAGTGCAGCAGGACTCGTCTGTTGAGGAGGAGCAGCAGCAGACGATGGTAAGACTTTGGGCTTCTTTTCATATTTACGTTTAGGTCGGATAAGATCGGCTTTATCTTGCTGCAATAAAGTCATGAGTTAATCAAACACTAGGAAACCATGTCCAACAAACCTGCAGTTTTAGGGAAGTTTTAAAATGAAATGTGCTGCTTTAATGAAGGCATTCATACTCATAAGAGATATAAGACTCTTACGTTTTATCGTCTTATATTATAAAGTCTTAGAGGTTGATTGGTTTCTGTGAAAACATTAATATGCTCCTACAAACTAAACATAATCTCATAAAGTATTTTGTTTCAATTAAAGTAAAGGAAAAGAATGAAAGTCTTCCAGCTTCTGAAACCCTATAACTGCACTTAGTATTTACCAACTGGCTCCTGTATCTTTTTCTTAATTTTCTATGAAAATACAAGAGAATAAAAGGGGATATCTAGTCTTTAGTCTAAAGAATTAACAATTCAATACAGGGAAAATAATAATGANTTAAAAAAAAAATAGCTGTGGGTGATGGTACTCGGTATATTCATCTAAAATATGAAAGAGATTAAATTAGGTGATCACTGTAGTCCTTTTCAGCCATGAGATGCTAAGATTTTATAAGATTTTATATTTCTTCTGAAAAATAAAACTCCAATCCAAAAGGCTATGAATGAAAGGAAAGTTTGGTAAGGCAGTAAATAGGGGCAAGTACAATCTCAACTGGGTTTTACATTATTACTTATACAGAAAACTGAGAATACCTCAGATGCTATTATTATTCAAAGTCTAACCAAATGCTAACTGGAAATAAATAAAAAATGACATTTCCCTGAAAATCTATCAAGGTAGAAAGTTTTTAGTTATATATCTATGTCCAGATATGGTGTAGTAGTTAAGTTTGCAATACATGCAAAGATGGACAAGATGGTTTTGTGGACAGATGACCAAATCTAGAATCAAAATCATTTCACAGAACCAAAAAATTTTAAATCAGGAGGGATCCTTGGTGATTTCCTCCTACAACCTCGTAACAGAGATGAAAAAACTTTCATGTGTGGTCACAAAGATATTTACTAGTGGAAGGGGGACAAAAAACTACTCTGAAACTAGTGAGGTTTTAAAATATAAAAAGAAATAGACAAAAGTTTGTTTTAGATTTAATATTATTTACAAAAAATAATCAGACTTTTTATGTATGAAGAATGTGAACCAAGTGCTTAAAAAAAATCTCACATACACAGCACCTCACAAACGTGAGTCCAGGCTGTGGAAAAGAGTCATGTGAAAGATATGCTTAAAAGCTGAGAACAGGGAAGGGGGCATGACACGACTTCCAATATTTGAAGGACACTGTGATGTTGGAGATCAAGGAAACTTATTCAGTAAGCTTCCAAAGGCAAAACAGAAATCAGAAGATTTAAATTTAAGGAGGCAGCTTTTGTTCAATATATGGACAAACTTCTAAACAAGATTCCCAACTGTAGAATCATCTCATTAAGAAAGTTGTTGAATTTGCCCTCACTAGAGGTGTCTGTCCAGGCAGAGGTCAGAAACTGCTGTTTGGTAGCTTATCATTCTGTGAGGGAGGAAGTTAGATGAAATAATCTGAGATTTTACAAGTCCCCTTCTTATACAAGGAAACTATCACGTGGCGCCCCAGCTCCTGGAATAGCTGACAGCTCAGGCTGCTCCCTTTTAGGTCACATTCCTGTAGTGGAAGCAGATCAACTGAAACGATCAGAGAAGTGCAGGTGGGGAGGGTGACAGGTACTCAGGAAAAAACAATTTGAAAATTTAGCTTGAGATGGATTCTAGATTACCAAAATGTGTCTTTCGTCCACAAACAAACAAAACCCCCAACAAACTCAAACACCTATTTTAAAAACCACCCTTCAATTAGAATTTTTTTGAGCAGTACAAAGGCAGGGAATTATTTTAATACAGGAAAACGGGGCAACTTTAAAGAAATAAATATAAAATGCAAGGACTCCAGAGACAATATTAAAGTGTGATCCCTTAATCAGAAAGCTTGAACTGATAGTTTTCATTGAAGCTTATAAGCATTTATCAGCCATCCAGAAATCCAATCTGAGAACAGAAGTTTAGTAATTCATTTGATGGCAAAACGTGACCGAACCTGAATTCATTTGGCTGCAAATGAATTGAACATGAGATTGCTTGTGGTCAATCATTCTACTTAGTGTGAATATTCTTGCACTGCACTGTAAAACTGTTCAACCATTAATGTATTTTACTATGGGTGCTACTCCAGATTCTGCTGATATCGTTCTGAATTTTGAAACATATCTGGATAAGGTTTAAGGACCTGCAGC